ATTCCAGTTACTGTCTCTCCTACTGAATGCAGCCATATAATGTAGGCTGATGCATGGAGCAGCTATTTGAGAGCATTAAAAAAGGAAACAGTAGCAGACTGGGGAAGAAGAGGAGGACTCAAAAGACTGCTGAGCCCATAGTGAGGTTACCGTTCTGCCACTGTGTCCTGCCGTTTTTCCTGCTGCTTGTCTAGATGTGAACAGGAGCAGAAAGGTGTATGGCAAAGCCAGGTGACTGAAGCCCTGTCTTTTTAGCCAGAGGACAAAAGAGGAGTTGTAGAGAAGAAGCAGGTAGCTGCAAAGACGTAGAGAATGGAGGATTCAGGAAAGCAACCCCATGTCATTGATTAAACTACTATGCCTATTTCTATGCTACATCCTTGGCATGCATGTGATTTTGATGAGCATGCTAAAAGCTTTTAAGAATTGAATGAAAAGACTACCACCAGGTCCCAGACTGGGTAATGCCTAATTGGGACAGATCTAATTAGCACTGAAAACTAAATTGGCTTTGGAGCCAAAACCAACAAAAGTCCTGGTGGAGCTGGTGTCCTGACCTGTTGATTACATGCAAAAACAGAAGTATCAGCATTCTATAAAGGAGTTTAAAAAGATGAAGAGTCACATAATATTCAAAATACATGTTCATGATACAACTAAACTAGACAACAGGTTGTCAGAATGGATTAAAAACTGACTGAACTACCTCTATAAGAAAATTGATTCTGGTAACAATATAGGTAGGTTAAAAGAATGGGGAATGCTTGTATTAGAAAAGAAGAAAAGTCTCAAATCAATAATACACATTTTACTTTTAAAAATTAGAAATAGAAGAGCAGTGTAAGCACAAAACAAGCAAAAAGAGATGAATTACAAGAATAAGAGCAGAAATCAGTGATTCTGGAAAAAGAAGACAAATGAAATTCAAAATTGGTTCATTGCTCAAAAAATTGATAAATCTCTTAGACTAAGAAAGAAAAAAAAACCAAAGACAAATTACAGATATCAAGAATAAAAGATGGAGTATCACTATAGACCCTGCAGGTTTCAAAAGGATAAGAAGCAAAACAAACAAACAAACAAACAATTATGTATAAGCTTGTCAACTTAACAATTTCTTGAAAAATATAAACTGTCTAAGCTAATATGAAATATAGTATAGTAGTTCTATAATTATTAAATAAATTTTATTTGTAGTAAACAAATTAAATTTGCTGTTAAACCTAAAACACAGATCACTTTTTTTTTAATTTTTTTAATATTTATTTTGAAAGTATACAACAGAACAAGTCAGAATAAAGCCAACTAAGATCGTACAGTGAAATTGGTACAGAACTTCACAGCAGGGATAACAGTATTAGGTATCACAGTATATTTTGTTATCTTTATAATAGTTGTTCTTTCAATCCTGTATATCAAAATGAGATGAAATATAGAACACTATAGAACTTATCAAAACAGAATATTGAATAGAGCAGTACCATTAATCAGAAAAGAGCAAAACAGTAATAAAAATATTTGCCTTCAAAGAAATGGTAGAAGGGAGTCCCCCTTATTTGCTATGGTCAGCCTGCCAGGAGATGCTCAGAAGGAGGATAGGGGGAGTAGGATATTTAACTCTAGGCCATGTAGCAGTAGGTTCACTATTGCTTAGCAGGGAGGCAGGATGGTCATTTGTTTTCACAGCGTCCTTAGTTCCAGCATGGTGTGGATCTCAGGAGACACTGCTGGTTCTCCCCCTGGAAGGGCTGCAGTGGGCCACACTACCACTGCTTACCAGGGAGGGGAGGTGCTGGCTTGGCTTCCCAGAGTCCTAAGTTCCAACATGGCCACAAATCACTTTTTAAATTAAATTTTAGCAAATATTTTATCACCTCTACCCAGTCTCTTTTGGGGAAAAGAAGAATTGAAAATACTTCTGTTTCATTTTATATGGCTAGCTTAATGCTCATAATAAAAACCAGAAAGGTAGTACAAAAAAATATTAATAGACCAGAATCTCTCATTAAGCTCACTTCAACAAAACAACAGCAAGTCAAATCTAGAAATATTTAATAAGAATAATGCCATGACCATTAGTTTACTCCAGAAATTAAAAGTTGGTTTAATATTTGAAAAATTAGTTAATATAAAGTATCATGTTGAATAGTCTAAGAAGAAAAATGATGTGATTACATGTCAGAGGTGCTTTGTTAAAATTCAGAATCTATTCATGATTTTTAAAAAAAAAAAACCCTCAATCTAGAAGAGAAGAGACTTCCTCAGTCAGATAAAGGTGGCTTTAAAAACTCTACTGTTAGTATTATTTCCCCCACCCCCAAGTGCAGGAGTTTGAACCCTGGGCCTTGGGAATACTAGGCAAGCACTCTACCACTGAACTACTTCTCATCTTTTTATTTTTAATTTTGAGACAGGGTCTTGCTAAGTTTCCCAGCTGACTTTCAGTGTGCAGTCCTCCTGCCTCAGCCTTTCATGTGGCTGGAGTTATAGGCATGCACTGCAGCCTGGCCTCATAGTGTTTTTAATAGTAAAAAACTAAATGATTTCTTCCAGAGGTTAGGAAAAAGGTAAGCATGTCTGCTTTTACCATTGCGGTTCAATATTACACTATACATCCTCACCAGAGCAAGAAGAAAAGAAAAGACAGATAAAGGCAGAGAAATAAAATAACTTGTCCTTTTATTTTCTTAAGTGTCTTCCACAAATCAAAAATTTTAATTTTGATAAAGACCAGTTTTTCAATTTTTCTTACATATACTTTGCATACCATGTCTGAGACCTCAATTGTAACTAATTTGTTTTGAGCTTTTTTCCTAAAATTTACAGTTTTATATTTTGAGTTACTTTGTATAAAATGGGTAAATGCAGATTGATATATTTTTCAGTAGACAAACAGTTGCTCCTACAGCATTTTCCAAAAAGACTTTACTGGATACTAAAGGGATAAGGGTGGATTTTAATCATAATAGACCTGTGCAATAAGGAAAAGAGTTCAACATGATTGGACCAGTCTCAACTGATCCTTGTAGAGTTTGCTGGGCATTTTTGAAGGGAGAGCAGAGGAGTTGGGGGAGGCGAGCAGGAGCTCAGTAGAGTGATGCAAGTGAAAATGTTGAAAATGGGCAGGGAACTTGACCTATTTAAAGCCCATCTGTGCTTTCTAACTGGTGCTTACTGGAATTAGGCCCCTGCCCTTGCACAGGTGCACATCTGTCTTCACACCCTGGCTGGAATAAGTAGGCAAAAGTACCATCACCTGGAGGATTAAAATTTCAGCATTAGAATTTTAGAGGGACGGAAACATTCCACCATAGCAATTATTTATTTTACTAAATATTCAGTTACTTGTGGCATTCAGTGTCTGTCCTAATACGTAGATAATTTGAAGTAGTCTAAAAGTGGGGTTTATTTTTGTGCTAACTTCTTGAGAGACTGACAACTTCACAATTCCCTGTTTTTATCCTACTCTGTTGTACAGCATGTGCTTACATTTCTTTAGTGCTTTTAAAAGACTATTCCCAGTGAATAGGATGTCTCCACAGGTTACTTTCAATGGACTGGTTTGATTCTATTTAAATCCAAAGCTATCAAACATCCTGTATTTGTCAGATTTCCATCACTGTGACAGAATTACTGAAATAAACAACTTAAGGAAGGAAAGGTTATTGCTTCAGGCCTGCAGCAATGCAGAAACATTCTGACAGACAGAAGAGCCTGGTGGTGAGCCTGGTGGAGGAAAGCTGCTTACGGGAAGCAGAGAGGGGGAAAAAGCCAGAGAGGAAGGACACTGGGAGCAAAATCGACCTACACTTCATAGCCGCCTTCCCCACCTGCTTCCTCCAGTTGTGTCCCACATCTGAATGAGGCCAGTGAGCTGTGAACTTACCACATCAGTGCAGTTAGAGCCCGCGTGATGCAATCACTCTGCAAAGACCCCACCTCTGGCCACCAATCCCCAGCACAGGGAACTTTGGAGGGGCATTTTAGGCCCAGTCCTAACACAGTCTGAGCTTCATCCCCATCTCCCTCCATAGCAATAAGGTTTTGATGAAGTTGAATATTATTTATCCTCTGAAAAAGCTTAAGGACTTGTGTAGTGGTATTTTATTTTTACTTTCTCTCCTTTTTTTTAAGAACCTCTGACTTGACACTTAGCTGCTTTGATAAAATGATGCTGTTTCTCCCTGTCCCTGTCCCAGTCTCCCTCACTCTTCCCCCAGCTCCTTCTCCTATGTTGCCCACACACTGAAAAATACTTCATAGAATTGGGCATTCTGAAATAAATGTGAGGGAAACTGTACAACAAAACAGTATTTATATCACTCTCAGTTTTTGCTATGAAGAAAAATATAGTTAAATCCATAAGAGAGAGAGCATAATGTACAAACGCATTTGTAATGGAACATTTGACTTTAAGTACTGTTTTTGTCACGTACTGTGTCTGTGAATTGTATGAAGTCCTAACCTCTCCGAGCTTCATTGTCTGTTAGAAAATAGGGGATAATATATATGTGTAGGTTTTTGTATTTTACAGCCTTTAGTGAATACCTTTCAGTGTGGTTGTGAGAGTTAACGAGGTGATTTGTTAATCATATAAAGTGGTAGAACTGTGTCTTATAATGTACAAAAATTTACTTGAAAGTAGTTTTCCTTAATCTAAAAAGATTGACTATAGTTTGAGCGACCCAATCTCTCTTCAACTTGCTGTTCAGTTTTTTCTTTAGAATTTCCTACTTGTGCTTAACATGGCAGAAATTATGCTTTAGAAACCTTCTTTTCTTCTTCTATCCTGTAGTTCCCCTTACCCAAGTTCTGCCTTTCAAGGAGTAAGCAGTTATGGAGTTAAGATATCAGGTAGCCCTCTTTTGACTGTAGGTGCCCCTAATACTTACTTCATATTGTACTTTGGTTGGGGAAGGGTACAGAAGTTGGAGTAGTGATTGGTTTCTTTCTCTCTCCGAGACCGACTGTGTGTAAACATTGGTTTTTTTCCCTTCTAGTTGCAGCAGTTGGAGCTTGCCCAGATACAGCACAGAGATGCTAATCTCACTGCTCTTGCAGCTATTGGACCAAGAAAGAAGAGACCACTAGAATCTGGAAACGAGGTACTGATACTATGTGTTGATTATTTTATTTTTCATGTCAAGAAAGCAAGCCAAAAAGCAGCAAAGATACGGTGGTAGTTTGTACTGCTCTGCCTGCCAGTGCTGCCAAACTCTTCTTAAAACTCTTCTTTGCCAGTGTTTTGCCAGGTTTTTAAGAGGTACATCATCTTGGATCTTATTTCTGCATATTACTTTTTTTAGTACTTCTTCCTATCTCCATCTCCAGTCATACTGAGTCAATTTTTTTATTTCTGTGTATTCTTTCTAGCGGTTTTATGTAATCCTCTCCTGTGCATCTGTATCATCTCCTAAGACTGAAGCTGGCCTCTTGTTTTTCTTCCATGAGCCCTGACTATTCCCACATCAGCTTCTCCCTTTCAGAGCATGGAATGTGTTTGCATGGCTTAAATGTTTGTTATTGTTTTTTGTTTGAATATTTTTTTCTGTTAGATTATGAACTTCTTAACGACTCTTACCTTTTCTACTGTATTCCCTGTAGAGCTGGGCTGTATGTGTTCAATAAATATTGTTAATTGTGTGGCACCATAAAAAGGTATTACTTCTCTAGAGTAATTATTTGAGATAATGTTATACTTGGGGATGGATCCTCAGGAACTCAGTTATGATATATTTTAAAAATGGGAAATGGAGCACATGCTGTTGTGAAATTATTTTTGCTTTTTAATATTCTATACCCTGGAAACAGACTTCCTTTTGGTTTGCTTCTTACTTTATAGATGGGAACTTGAGGTTCTACCTGTTTGATTTAAATCTGAAGAAAAAGTATAGTTCTTCAAAGAGTAACTCTTCATTTAAATCTAGGTTTTTTCCTAAAAAAGGAATGGTTTCAGTTTGAAAGATTAAATAGAACGATGGTTATTTTAAAAACAGTAAAATTCAGAAAATTAAACTTGATGACTTTTGTATTCAGAGATTACCATTTTTGTTGACTGTATTTTGGAGGAATTATTTTTAGATCTTTGTTCTTTAGTAGTTTTCTTTTGTGTTGTTTGTGTCATGATTAAAATGTGAATCTCCCTTTCCTTAAAAATATCCTGATTGTACAACTTGTGTATTAACCTGGCCTTTGGAAACTTATACTTGATATTCTCAGGAGTCTTGGTAAAGCTGAGTAGCATCAGCTGCTGTCTCCTCATGTTACCCTAAGAGCAGCAGGTGCCAGTTACCATTTTGAATCAGATCTTTGTAGCATGAGCCTGTTGGCTTGGGGATAGTAGTTTTAAAATTTATATGTGGAAAATACCGTGTGATTTTTGTTTACTATTGTGATTTGAAATATATGAAATTAGTTTTAAAATTTATGTAGCTGCACAGTTAAGTGATACAGAGAAATAGAAACTACTTTAAAATTTGCATATGTATTTTGTGTGGATAGAAGGTAGTATGTTTGTGGTCCTTGGGAATTTTGAAATATTAATTCTATGTTAAAGAGCTTTGCTTAGAAAGGATCTGTCTTTTTTTCCCAATTGCAATAATTTAAGATAGTTATCTGATCTGTTGATGACCCATCATAAATACAATGTTTATTTTTGACAAATATAAAATTAAGTTTGTTTTAACCTTATATTAAAAAGAAATCACATCATTGTACATAAAATCAATTTTTGTAGCTTTGAAAGTCCCGATAGCCCCCAACTTACATTAGTTGAACTTAACAATATCTAGACTTCATGATGGTATAAAAAATATATGTATCCAGTAAAAAATACAGTTCATCGTTTGAATTTTGATCTATTCCCGGGTTAGTGTTACGCAGTGCAGTGCGATTTTTCTTGCAGTGCAGGCTGGTAGTGATGAGGAGCCGCGGCTTCCGGTCAGCTGCTGGGTAGTGGAGGAGAGCAGCGGCTTCCTGCGCTCTGTGTTGCTGGGCTATCAGCAACCTAACCTTCTCTGTAGGTTAGGTTCATTACTTAAATTTTCAGCTTATTATGTTTTCAGTTTAAAATAGGTTTACTGGGAAGATAAGGAGCATCTATATGAGTTACGCAGTGTCACCAGTTTTACTTTAAGTAGTTTTTTATTAACATAAATAAGTGAAATCTGCCAAGAACATTTAATTATGTACTTGGCTTCAGAAACATGGTTTCTATAAACGTTAAGTGTTTTACAGTACCAGAACATCTACATGGTGCGTTATAGTATTGGTATACCTAGTTAAAATAGTGTTCCTTTGTTAGCCAAAGTGAAGTTTAAACGTGTACGTATATAACCTCTTTCTCGCTAGAAGATTAAGTGCTTCCCAATGTAACTCTTAATTCTTACAGATAACATTCCTCCTTTAACAACTGATTCAGCAGTTAGGTCATAACTGAACTGGTGATTAAATGAAGAACTATATATTTCACGTACATTACAATATTCAAAGCAAAGAAATGGCCAAAGGAAACTCCAACGTGATGACTTGCTTTTATTTGTATAACTCTTACACACAGTACTGTATAACAGAACATAAAACTACACTACTGCATTGTACTGTATGATCAGCAAAAATTACAGTATTATATAAACAAGGTGACTCTATAAACAAAATGTACAAAACTGTACCCAGAAAAGGAGGGGAAGATCTTAAGTTTGAACAATCCAGACAGTCAACCAGGTAGTTCATTAAACAAGGAATGTCTGAAGGCCAGGTGTCATGGCGCAGGCCTATAATCGTAGCACTTGGGCGGCTGAGACAGCAGGATCACTATGAGTTTGAGGCCAGCCTGGGCTACCTAGGTGAGTTGAAGCTAGCCTGTACTACATAGTGAGACCCTGCCTCAAAAAACAAAACAAAACAAAAAAACACCAAGGAATGTCTATAAAGTACTTTTTGGAACTTTGGCTTGGAAATAGGTTTGAAAGCTTTGAAAATTTATCACATTGTGTAATTCTGATTTAGCTATAGCTGAGTTCTAAGTCCGGAATGTCAGATATTGATACTGGCTTTGCTATGTCTCTCAGCTGAAGCATTCTTGTTTAAATTTTTTAATACCAAGTACATTTATTAGCAAAGAAGAAAGTTATGAAATGTCCTCATATCTTTCCTTAAGGAATTAGAAATAAAAGACAGAATAAAACCACAATTGAAGTAAGAGAGATCTGAAAACACAATCCCTTATCAAAGAGGCAGCATCAGTTTTCATAAAAATTAACATTTTGATTTTCACATTTCTGTAGAAATACAAGAGACTCAGAATAGTCTAAGCAACTTTGATAAAGAAACAAAATTAGAGCTCCAACCCTCCCCAGTCCCACGACTTATCACAGTTATACCAGTCATGACAAAATGGCATTGATACCAAGATAGACAAACCCCCAAGGTACCAATATGAAGTCCCAAAATAAATACCCATGTAATAGATACTTGATTTCTGGCAAAGATGCAAAAACAGTTAAGTGGCAAATGGATTGTACCTTCAATAAATAAACTGGAATAGCTGGATATCCACATGGAAAAATCTCAAACCTTACTGCACGTCAAAAACTTAAGACATCCAAAAGTCAACTCTAAATGGCTCACAGTGGGTTAGTTAAAGTAAAGGTGGTGTAACCTGAGTCATTGCTTTGGCTGAGGTCATTCTCTCTGGGACAAAAAGACTGGGTGTGGAAGGGAAGGCAGAGCCTACAGAGGTGTTCTGTGAAGGGAGGCACTGAATTTGCTTCTAAACACACCATGTGGATGACAGAGAAGGCCATTATGCATCTTCTACTTTTTTTTTAAACTGTCTTAACTATTTTTTATATATATATTCCTACACATACACATTTTTTCTAGCTTGTCACACTAATGAAACAATATGATGTTTACACGTGTCTTATTTATTTCACTAATAAGTATGTTCTCAAGGTGCATCCATTTACCTATCAATGAGTCTAGTTTATCATTCTTTATGACTGAGTAGAATTTCATTGTATAGAAATACCACATCTTTTTTATCCATTCCTCAGTCGATGGCTATTTGAAGCTTTCTTAAAATGTATTTTTTTATTGAACTTTTAAAATTTTTTGGGCCTTGAAACTATTTTTTAAATAAAGATATTTCAGGGGCTGGGGATTTAGCTCAGCGGCATAAGCACCTGCCTTGCAAGCAGGCAGTCGTGAGTTTGATCCCTGGTACTGATAAAAACGAAAAAGACAAAAAAAAAAAAAAAAAAAAAAAAAAAACAAATTTCATCCTGGGACACTTCTAAATACTTATTTTTAAACCAACTGTTGTTAAAATATTATTAATGAGGTAAATGTTATTTGAACAGATCTATAATTCAGTTGCATAGCCCTATTCTTAATATGTTCCTGCTAAGATTAATAATAGAGATCATCATATTATAGTATTTTATGAACAGGTGTATTGGAGTATAGAAAAGAAGACCAGCGAGACCACTTAACATAACATGCTACATCACATTGGCAGCTGTATTTCATGTTTTAGCTAGAAAGAATGATAACTGGGAGAGTTCTGTTAATTAATACATGTGTGTGATCTACTCATAGACATTTAGCGTATTCTCAGTTATTCATTTTTACCCCAGTTATTTGTTATAAACAGTGAATATCATATATATTGATGAACTCAGTTTCTTTTCTTAGCTTTCTTTTTTTATTGGTATATATTTGCCATACACATTGAACATATTCATCATAGGAAATTTGTGGTTTTTTTGTTGTCTCTCTACCTTTCCTATGTACCTTTTTCAATGTTGAGGTTGTGATTCTATATGGAAACATAATATACAGAAATGTTTAATATGAGATTAATTTTTGGATATTTAAACACTTACAGATAGTTTTCCTTGAGAGAAATATATATATTTTGAAATAGGTTGAATTCATATGGGCATTTGATTTACCTAAGTCGATGCTGTTTTCTTTACCAAATTTATTAATTTTTATTATTTGAGTAGTACGTAAATTATAATTGTACTAATGTATCATTATATAAATGTACGTAAATTATAATTGAAATATTAAGTCTGAAATGATTTTAGAAAATCCAGAA